CTGTCTTGGAAATCGTCCTGACTTTCATACTCTGTCTTGGCTCCTACGCCATCCCACACGCAGCATCCGGAAGGCAGGCGCCTGGCCACAACCACCCTGCTCTCCCAAAATACTTTCCTAAAGGTTGCCCACATCTGCCTGTCTCAAAAAGGTCTTTCAATCCTTTCTTTTCCTCAAAAAACCTCGAGACATAAAAAATGGACACAGAAAGAAGGCAAGTACCCTGTGCTTTCCCAAATAAGGTGTAAACATGTGGGCCACCCAAGGCGAAGTCCCCTTGGGGGTGACCGTGCAGTTTCCATCCCACTTAGGGAGCTCTGCAAACGGACGCACCAGGAATTTTGGTCACCAAGTCGGCTTCTGCTTGGACACCCTCCGTAAGCGACACTGTGAGCATCACTCCCTTCAGTTCCGGGGCAGTTCCATTACGTTCCATCTTGCTCTCAGCCCCGCCGTTGGCCTGGCAACCTGTTTTATTGGCTTCCGCTTGGATTTGCTACAAATAGGTTTTCATGGCCTGATGTTAATTAGCCACAGCTGCCTCTTCAACACTGAAAAAAAGACCAAAAAATCAGAATGTCTCATTAATTCAGAGAGATTTTGACTTTTCCTTGGAGTATCTCGCTCAGATTACTCTTTATCAAACTTTTTATTACCTTATAATGTTCGTTTCAGAATATTGAATATCCATTATTGCCTTTCTAAAATGCTAACTTTATTCTGAGGTCTTGAAATCTCTTTTTCTTATCACATTTACTTCATTTTGAATGTATTTATTTGACTTCTGAGTCACACTCATCCGTCTCTGTTTCTTATTTTCTAGGTCATGCCTTGTCTTGGATTCCAACTTCGCGTTGCTCGAGACTGTCAATGTGTGTGTCTTTGCATGCAGCGAGTGTAGACAGAACGCTTACTGAGTGTTGGCCCAGGTAACATTCCTATTGTGCCCTAGCACTTTCTCAGAGGTGGGCCTAGCACAGAATTCTAGGTGTGTCTCCATCTGCTTAAGCTTTTTTTTTTTTTGGAGAGGTTTTTGCTATAGGGCACATGCGCTCGCCAGACAGAGAGAGACATAGAGACAGAAAGCGAGAAATCACCCCCCAGGGGGGATGGTCACGCCACAGTCCCTTCTCCTCCATTCTCCTCTCGGGATCTTGGGCACACACGCACACGTGCCCGGCATGAGTTTTAAGCCACCGGGTCCGGGACGCAAACCGCAGTCGACTACGTGGGAGTCCAGCGACGTAGCCATTACGCTAACTGCTGGTTCCCTGCTTGGGCTTTTGTAATGAAATACGCAGACAGGGTGGCTGATTACTCACAGTTCTGAGGCTGGAAGTCTAAGACAGAAGAGCGGCAGGTGGGCGTCTGGTCACTGAGACGGAGGAGGAGCAGGTGGGCATCTGGTCACTGAGACGGAGGAGCGGCAGGTGGGCGTCTGGAGACCAAGATGGAGGAGCAGGTGGGCGTCTGGTCACTGAGACGGAGGATCAGCAGGTGGGTGTCTGGAGACCGAGATGGAGGAGCAGCAGGTGGGCATCTGGTCACCAAGACGGAGGAGCAGCAGGTGGTTGTCTGGTGACCAAGACAGAGGAGAAGCAGGGCAGGTGACTGAAGACCAAGACAGAGGTGCAGCAGGTCGGGCGTCTGGTGAGGACCTGCTCCCTGGTTTATGGACAGTGCCCCCTCACCACCTCCTTATGTGGGGGAACCTAGGGGCAGCACTCTGGCTTCCATTTGTCCTGTTATTAAGAACCACCCCAGAGGTCCCCCACCTAACACCTTCACTTTGGTTGGGATTTCCACATGAATCGCAGGCAGACAGATGCTCAGACCACAGCAAGGTCCAGACCCGTCGCCCCAGCCTTGCAGACTGGCTCCTACTCAGGGCCTTTGCCTGCCCCTGTTCTGCCAAGACGCAACGCACTTCTCCCAGGCTCCTCCTGCAACTGCCTTCCTTCCTTGGCTTCTTTACTCGAAAGTAACCCAGAGTGAGACTTGGCCTCCACAGCCTGCCCCACCACACCTCCGCCTCCCAGCCCGCACACCTACTCCTTCCCTGCTTCGCTTCGTTCTCCTGCACCTTTTACCTTGTCTGGCACTGGACACGGTCTACCTAAGCCATCTTTGTTCTCAGCCACCTGCCAGTAGACTACAGGCTTCATGGAGGCAGGGGCTATCTCTAGAACAGTGCTTGGCACATAGACAGCATCGAATGGGTATTTATCGGTTGGCTAAGTAAAGCCACTTCGCTGCTGTCTGTAGCAACCTCTGAAAGGAAGAACAGTTGGTGTTTGTGTATCTGGTTTCGTTCTGGATACCTGGTGTCCGTGTTCTACTCACTCGGCGAGTCTTTAGGGCTCTCTCTTCATCACTCCTCTTCTAAAATTACATGTTATGTATCAAGGGTAGCTTTTTATTCACAAATTATTCTGCTCAGTTTTTCAATCTGAAACTCTAATCTTTCTCAGCTCAGGGGCTTATTATTTTTATTATTTTAGTCTCCCTTTCCATTAACTTCACTCTCATCGCTGAAAGTTTTGAATCGATTTTCCAAGTCTGTACCATATCTCTTCATTTCCCTCCTTCTTTATGAGCTGAAATGTACTCAACATTATTTCCCAGATCACAATTCGCTCATCAATCGGATCCATTCTTTTATTTAACCCATCAGAAATTTTTAATTTCAGCATATTTAATAAGAACTCTTCTTTGTTCTCTGAAAGCACCTCTTTCAAAGCAACTTATTCATGTTTTATAAAAGAATTATCTTCTCGTTGCTTGCTAAACACTAATTAGAAAATTTAAAATTCTTTTCTGTTCCGTGAACTCTTGCTGCTTCCTCGGGGTTAGTTGTTCTGCTTGATGGCCTTGATTGTTCTTTTCCACACTCTCGACTCTTTCTCCAGTGTCTGACGGTCCTTGTTTCCGTCGTGTTTTGAGTGTATGAAGAGCTGTTCAGGCCGGGTCCTTCTCCCAGGGTGCGGCTTTGTGTCCCTCAGAAATCTCTTCCATGTCTGCTGGACCTGTGTGCAGACTTGCAGGTGTGCTTTCTCAAAGGACGTGTGAGCAAGAATCACTGCAGAGCCCAAAGGAATCCCATGGTGGCCACCCAAGGTCGGGTTTACTCTGGGGCCTCATGGGTCAGTGAGTTTCTGTCCAAAAGAAGAAAAAAATCTTCTCAGCTAACAGTCTTCTACTCTAATTGTTTGTGTATTTTATCTGATATTTGCCAATCGAACTAAGAGGATTTCAAAGTGAAACGGCTGTTGTTTTCAATTCATAGTTTAAATGATTAACCTGACCTACTTTGGAAGGCTGTTTTAATTCAGGCAGTGTTTGGAAACACCCGCTCCACCTCTGGCTGCAGCAGCAACACGGCGAGGAGGCCACGGCCCTTGTGGCACGAGACCCAGACTCCGCAGTCTCAAGTGGATTCTTCCTCTTTGTAGGCTGTAAGTTCTCCTATGCCCGCTTACATGGGACACCAGACGTAATTCCCTCTGCCCTCTGCCCTCGGGATCTTAGGAAAGCCTTCCAACTTTTCAGTAAGACATCCTGCCTTTTCAGTCTCACCTTTCTTATTTCCAAAAAGGTGGTGAGACTGGGAGCGCACAGAGCGAGTGAAAACAAAGGACAGGAAACGCCAGGAGCAGTCCAGGGCGACGTACGGGCAGGGAAGTCTCTAGCAGATACTCGAGATGAAATTTGTTGTTTTGCTGATCACATGAATGTATTTGTTATTCAACAAATCCAACAATCCAACAACAAAAAATCTTTGTGATATTTTGATTGCAAAAATAAACAAAAACTTAAGATATCTGAGGTGTATTATTGGATTTTAAAGCTCTGAGGACTAAACTATCACTGCAGAAGTTCTGGGAACTTCACAATATTCTCAGAACAATATTGTCTTGGAACATCATGGACTTCATAGGCTGGAGTATGAACAAAATTTTACAAGCTCCTTACTCAGAAGTGAAAAGGACACAGACACAAATAACAACGAGCCTCCGGGACCCTGCTAACTGCCTCAAAGACCATGGAAAACCCGGCACTTCCGCCTTGCCTGCACCCACGCCGACTACCACGGCACCTGCTTCCTTCGGCTCCAGCATCTCGGTTCTGAGCTGCATCAGACCTGAAGTCACTGTGGGAAAAGTAAGTGCGGCGGAAATGCTGGCACTCCAGGGCCTCCCCAGAGCACAGCCCCCAGGTCCACACCTCATGGGTGCACTCAGTTAGGCTCTGCACCTGCCTGGCAGGGGTTCTCGGCTTAGTGGCTTCCTGGTGCTCTGAGACTTGAATGTTGAAAAAAAAGAGCTATTCTTCAAAGGTGGCAAGAAATGAACACTAGCGGACTGGAGATTCAAGGCAAACCTTTGAAAAGCTCCAGAAGCCTTCACGCGTGGGCCCCTAAGTCCTGGTGGAGGTCTGAAGGCCTGTGGGGGGCAAAGAGCCGCCCTTAGCCCTCCCTGTCTGTGAGGCTCTCCCATTCCTCCATAACTAGCACCACTCCCTAGGCCCCACTCTCCCAGTGAGGAGGAGGGAGGAGGTGGCCCCCAGCCCGCTGGCTCCAGGTTACCCTCCTGAACGCAGTGGCCCGTGTCATGTGAGTGGATGCAGAGGAGACAGGGCACCTTGTGAACAATGTGCACTGGTGGGATGTCGCTGTGGCCTGGCGGTTAAGGGAGTCTGTTTTTTGTTTGTTTGTTTGTTTTTGTTTTTTTTGTTTTTGGGGTTTTTTTGGAGCGGTTTTCGCTATAGGGCGCGTGCGCTCGCCAGACAGACAGAGACAGACATAGAGACAGAAAGCGAGAAATCACCCCCCAGGGGGGATGGCCACGCCGCAATCCCTTCTCCTCCATTTTCTTCTCGGGATCTTGGGCATGCACACACACGCGCCCAGTGTGAGTTTTAAGTCACCAGATCCGGGACGCGAACCACAGTCGACTACGTGGGAGTCCAGCAACATAGCCATTACGCTAACTGCTGGTTCCCAACCCGTTTTCACATTGCAGATCACAGTTCAAATCCTAGCCTCAACAGCTTGGAAAACACGCTGGGCACTTGTGAATGAACCGGGAGCCTAACGAGAAGAGAAGAGAAGGGACTGCATGTGACCGCAGCCTACTGAAGGGTGCTTTCTCTCTCTCTCTCTTCAACAATAGAAGATAAAAGCACATGGATGCATAAACATGCAAGCCATGAATTTTCTGTTTTGCACATGACAAGCGGCACTTCGCAGTCACATCTGAAAATGAGAATCACAACGCAGAGACTGAACTGACGGGGGGCCGCCATTCCTTGGTGTAGGGCAGCTGGTGACTGCAGACACCTCAGAGAGGGGGAAGTTAGTGATTCCATTCATTTTTAAAAAGACAATCTCCTATCCTCTCGTAGCTCAGAAGGATTTCCATGGTGAAGCTTTACTCCAAACCTCCAGAAAATTAGACTCCTAGCAGGCTAAAGCAAATCACCTCCAAGTATTGGGTGTTTGGAAACCTCATCCAAATTGCCCAGACTCTTTTCTTCCACGCCCGTGGTAGGCGCTGATGCCAGCAGACCTCGAGCTCCGTAGTCTTGTGATGTGAAGAAAGAAGCGCACGTGAGAAGCCCGAGCACCCGCTCCCACGCCCGCAGAGGTCCGCAGAGCTGGAGTCACCTTGGTCCCTGCCGAGGGGCTGCATTTTCTGTCCGCCTTTTTAGTATGGCCCATGGTTTATTACGTCTTTATGATAATGCTTTACAGTTTGATGTGGGTGTCCTAAATAATGCCATTGAAAACTTTTCTGTGTAACAGTGGTACAGATCTAATTTTTAGACATTATCTTCTTTTGTATTCTAGTTAAATACCATATGTTCACCCGGGCACAAAATAATAATTTGTGAAATAGAGCTAAGGAAAAGGAAAAAAGATAGCAAAACGTCATAATCCCCCCATCTAGAGATAGTTCCTAATATTTTGCATGAGGCCTTCTGGACTCTGTGTGTGTGTGTGTGTGTGTGTGTGTGTGTACACAAATGTACACATGACAGTATGTGCACATATACCCATGTAGGCTAAGCACTTCCCACTCAGAGCTGCAACGACTGCTGGCACCAGCCCTGAGGAGGGCACCGCCACCTGCTTCCCCAGGTGAGGAGCTACGTCTGTACCTAAGAAAGTCAGGACCCCGAGGGTTTGGGCAGTGCCTTCCCCCTGGGCCGAAGCTCCCACTGCCCCTCTGCGCCCTGTTCCTTCCAGAGGCCCTGGGCTCCCAGTCCAGGCAACACCTTCATCACGCGGCTTCTGTCGAGAGTCTGTCAAGGAGAGGCGTGGGGGTGTGTCAAAGGAGAGGGCGTCATGCCGTGTGTGTGTGTACACAAATG